TAAGATAGTAACTATTTCAAAAATAAGATTTCCTTCACCCACTTATTTATTTATAATTATACGACTATATTATGTGATAATGTTGATTTGATATAACCTTTATACTTAATATTTACCCCTACTCTATACAGGGATTGTGAGCTATTATGTTAATTTGCGGGTTACCTTTTTTTTTTCTTCCATTGTTTTATTAAGAAAATGGCATTTAATAATATTTTTAAAAAAAATATTTTTAAAACACTTTTATTTAATATTATTGTTAGGAAATTGAATTCTCCACTTATAAAAGTATAATAATAATTAAGATGATTTAATTTCTATCTACTTTGATTTAATGGTATAAAATTTATTCTCAAATTTGTTTTACTATTCAAAAACTTTATTTTCTCTGCACAGTTTTTATTACTAAACAATTCAAGCAATACACTCCCCAATATCAAAATAATCCATTAATCTACATTTACCTCTTTCTTCTCTCTCCACTACCTCAATTTTATTTCTTTATTTACCTTAATTTCAATTACATAATTAAAAGATGATCGTGATTTATAATGAATCATTGTCATTAAATTGATAATAGACTTTAGTTAGAGTATCTTTAACTCTGACTCAAATTTAAATTTAAATTAAAAAAGCCTAAAAAAATTTTCTAATCTTATACTCAAACTTATATCAAATTAAAAAAAAAAATTATTCTGCACCAAAATTAAGAAAGACTCACATTTTATATCAAATTTTCAACGATAACTTTTTATCCTATCTAAACTCAAAAAGCTCTTTTGACGAAACAAATACTTGCCTCTCCGAGCTCTATCTTTAAAATCGTTGTCATCGCCTCCAACCATATTGTCTATTCTTACTTTGATTATAACTTTTTATTCTGCTTTTTCTCCCTCGTTTCTCTCTCTATCTCTCATTCTCCATGAAAACCCACAAATCTATCTCTCAAAGATATTAGTATTCTCGTCTCTTTCATAGGTTAACATTAGTAGAGTTTGTAAGAAATAAAGTTTTAATATTGGATAAAATATTTAAATTGAAATTTTTTTTAAAAAATAATCTTTGAGACAATAAGAATTTTTTTAAAAAAATAAATAAATATTTAAATTTATCTATTAGAGTGTTTTATATCAAACTAATTTTTTTACTCATTGCGATACATAAAATNCTAATTCCGTATGATTTTAACTAATCATGTAATATTTTTATGTATATATATATATATATATATATATATATATATAAATACATTCTGGTCTATAATTTTTGAAGCGACTTATTCTCAATTTAAACTCTCTAATTTCGGGTATTATGACTACTATTCATAGCGGGTCGGTATTATTACGACTTGAAAAATAGTACTGACTATAAAATGTCAAACAAACAACGTATAAAATAGATTTCACATATTATTTTCTTAATACCACCTCCTTATACCCACTCTAATACTCAAAATAAACATCGCCGGTGTATACCCCCACCCACTCTAATACTCAAAACAAACACCCCCGGTGTATACCCCAGAAGCACACCTGTTAGGCCAAAGGGGTGTTTTGGGTACAAAGAGCATAAAGAAAGAGAGACGTAGAGATGGTTGTGAAGGGTGAGCGAGTAGATAGGAGTTTCGAAAGTTTCTGCGAGTACATAATTTGGTTACAGAAACGAACACCGAATGTGAAATTCATCGTACACCATAGATCCTATAATATCTTCTCCTGTCTTTTTGTTGGTTTTTTTTGCAGGTAATTCCAACCCCCCCCCATCTTCTTCTTTTNGAATTGAATAATTTGTAATTATTAATTAAAAAATTACACACGTGATTGCACATTTTTATTGGTCAAAAAATATAAGTGCGATATCGAAAAGGTGTATTTCGGTGGAGGATAGAAAAAATAAATTATATTTTTTTCCTCCGCTAAGAAAGCAAGAGAAAGAAAAAAAAAATATCATTTGAAAAAAAAGAAAGATAGATAAAATAACATCGATTGAGAGGTAACCGCCGCTGAGGTGGAATCCCTACTTAGGTGTGACCGTAACATTTCAAATCCTTGAAGTTCATGAAAATTGATTGGTGATTGGAGGTTATAAAGGATTTGAAAAGAAGAAAAAAGGAGGAACGGAAAACTGTTGTGGTGCCTTTCTAAGACTCTATCTTATGCTACATGTCGTGAGCAATAGAATAAAATATAAACACCNGCTCCTTTGGCTTGGTAGATTCACGATGAGGTTGGGCTCCTCAACTGGGGTTGGACTTTAACACATAAATTAGACTATTTGGGCTTAACCCATCAATTTTGAATTGAATAATTTGTAATTATTAATTAAAAAGATTACACACGTGATTGCACATTTTTATTGGTCAAAAAATATAAGTGCGATATCGAAAAGGTGTATTTCGGTGGAGGATAGAAAAAATAAATTATATTTTTTTCCTCCGCTAAGAAAGCAAGAGAAAGAAAAAAAAAATATCATTTGAAAAAAAAGAAAGATAGATAAAATAACATCGATTGAGAGGTAACCGCCGCTGAGGTGGAATCCCTACTTAGGTGTGACCGTAACATTTCAAATCCTTGAAGTTCATGAAAATTGATTGGTGATTGGAGGTTATAAAGGATTTGAAAAGAAGAAAAAAGGAGGAACGGAATACTGGTGTGGTGCCGTTCTAAGACTCTATCTTATGCTACATGTCGTGAGCAATAGAATAAAATATAAACACCGACTCTTATATACTTATTTATGCTCATGAATCCTCGTGAATACTATTGTTTTGACATGAATAGTTTGTTTTTGATTAGATCGAAATAAAAATTAGTCAATATGTGTCTAAACTAATCTGAACATCCAGATCTTTGAAAAAAAAAACAAAAACAAAGAATGGGTTAGTCTTGTGGTAGCTGATTGTTGATTTGATGAAAGTGACACCTATTTTTAATGACGTTTACTTGACAAGGTGCTTTTCTTAATAATGCATTATGAGTTCTTTTTGTCTTTGGTGCAATTATCTTGGATTTTATCAGTAGTCTCCAAGTTAAATTGGGGAGAAGAAATCTACGAAGGATAAATTATTTATAGCTTAATTTCAAGTGGTTGTCAGGATTTGAATTCAAGATACATAAATTTTTAAATTGTTCCTGTTGCTACNAAATCCTTGAAGTTCATGAAAATTGATTGGTGATTGGAGGTTATAAAGGATTTGAAAAGAAGAAAAAAGGAGGAACGGAATACTGGTGTGGTGCCGTTCTAAGACTCTATCTTATGCTACATGTCGTGAGCAATAGAATAAAATATAAACACCGACTCTTATATACTTATTTATGCTCATGAATCCTCATGAATACTATTGTTTTGACATGAATAGTTTGTTTTTGATTAGATCGAAATAAAAATTAGTCAATATGTGTCTAAACTAATCTGAACATCCAGATCTTTGAAAAAAAAAACAAAAACAAAGAATGGGTTAGTCTTGTGGTAGCTGATTGTTGATTTGATGAAAGTGACACCTATTTTTAATGACGTTTACTTGACAAGGTGCTTTTCTTAATAATGCATTATGAGTTCTTTTTGTCTTTGGTGCAATTATCTTGGATTTTATCAGTAGTCTCCAAGTTAAATTGGGGAGAAGAAATCTACGAAGGATAAATTATTTATAGCTTAATTTCAAGTGGTTGTCAGGATTTGAATTCAAGATACATAAATTTTTAAATTGTTCCTGTTGCTACTTAATCTATCCTTTGGGCTTACTTCATCCATGTTGTCATAAAGAGTAGCCATCGCAGTCTAATTAACAAGTTCTTTCCTTAACAAGTTCCTTACTCTTGAGTGTTACCATTCAAATCACNGTGAATACTATTGTTTTGACATGAATAGTTTGTTTTTAATTAGATCGAAATGAAAATTAGTCAATATGTGCCTAAACTAATTTGAACATCCAGATCTTTGAAAAAAAAAACAAAAACAAAGAATGGGTTAGTCTTGTGCTAGCTGATTGTTGATTTGATGAAAGTGACACCTATTTTTAATGACGTTTACTTGACAAGGTGCTTTTCTTAATAATGCATTATGAGTTCTTTTTGTCTTTGGTGCAATTATCTTGGATTTTATCAGTAGTCTCCAAGTTAAATTGGGGAGAAGANGAGGCAGCAACTAGTGATACTTCGATCAAATAGATGAACGCTGATTACCACTCCATAGAAGCCCGAAAAATTAAAAAAAATGATCCTTTGTTTTGCTAAATGTACTAGGAAAATGCAAATGAAATTCAGAGAGACCGCAGTTTCCAAAACCAGGGAGAGAGAGAGAGAGAGAGAGAGAGTGAAATTCAGAGAGACCGTAGTTTCCAAAATAGGGAGAGAGAGAGAGAGAGAGAGACGTTCCGTTTATGAGACCCGTTCTAGCAAAGAGTCAAAAGACCTTTGCAGTTTCCACATAGCTTCATTCAAGTGGCTTTCCAGCAATTCACAGCTAAACATTGGGTAAAATGGTAAAGGAAAGCCTGTACAAATTGTAAGACACGGCCTATCTCTGAGCAAAGCCGCCTCATAACTCAGTTCCTTCCAGTTCAGTTAACCTAGAGAGAGAGGGAGAGAGCAGATGCCATTATAGAGAGAGAGGTAAGTGTAAAACCATAAGAGACGGAGAAGATGATTTGTAGGGTTTAAACTACTGCATCTCTGAGTTCCCAACTGTAATAAAGGTGAGTTCTCAGTCTTACACTCTCCTACAAAACCCCTCTAACCCCAACATGTCCTTTAAAGCTATTCAGTAACACACACACACATTATAAAGCAAACCACAAAGAAAACCAAAGTCTTTACCCTTTTCTCTATCAATAATCTCCACCTTAAAGCTGTCAGGTTTCGCTCCCTCTCTCTCTCTTCCCCCCTCTTGATGTACCTACTTATAACTAGTTTTGTGTACTGTACAGGTTCAAGGGTACTTTGAAGAGCTAGAAAGCAAAGTGGTTTCGGTTTTGTGGGGTTGAAAGAGCGACAGTAGAGGCGATGTTGGACTACGAATGGGGTAACCCATCAACAATCATGCTGTCCGGTGAAGAACCCACCGGAGACTCCGATCAAACCCGTCAAACCTTTGACCATTACAACCAAACTTTCAACGAAACAACCCTACTCAACCCAAATGGCTTCAACACTCCACAATTCCACCATCACCACTTCCACCAGCAACAAACCCAAAATCATACCCATTTCAACTCTCTATACGATCCACCGGCCTACGGCGGTGGCGCGTCTTACCCACCTCCACCACCCTCAATGCTGTCTCTTGAACCGGCTGGTCCAACCGGGTTCATGATGGTGCCGAAGAGCGAACCGGCTTCTGGGGTGGTCGATTTCAACAGTAGGATCGGGTTGAATTTGGGTGGAAGGACGTATTTTTCTTCGTCGGAGAATCATGATTTCGTGAACCGGCTTTACCGGCGGTCGAGGATGGTTGAACCCGGTTCAGTGAACTCGCCGCGGTGTCAAGCCGAGGGCTGCAATGCCGATCTGACTCACTCGAAACACTACCACCGGCGACATAAGGTCTGTGAGTTTCACTCCAAAGCCGCCACAGTCATCGCCGCCGGGTTGACTCAGCGATTCTGCCAACAATGTAGCAGGTTTGAATTTACCATAACACCCTCCCCATGCATTCACATTTTCATTCTCAACCATATCAGATCACTTTTTTTCTTCATCATCTCAACATCCGTAGAGGAGGAAGAGGATGGGGATGTCGAAATGACGAAAATGCCCTTTGGGTGTGGCAAANAAGGCAGCAACTAGTGATACTTCGATCAAATAGATGAACGCTGATTACCACTCCATAGAAGCCCGAAAAATTATAAAAAATGATCCTTTGTTTTGCTAAATGTACTAGGAAAATGCAAATGAAATTCAGAGAGACCGTAGTTTCCAAAACCAGGGAGAGAGAGAGAGAGAGAGAGAGAGAGAGAGAGAGAGAGAGAGAGAGAGAGAGAGAGAGAGAAAGAGAGAGAGAGAGAGAGAGAGAGAGAGAGAGAGAGAGAGAGAGAGACGTTCCGTTTATAAGACCCGTTCTAGCAAAGAGTCAAAAGACCTTCCACATAGCTTCATTCAAGTGGCTTTCCAGCAATTCACAGCTAAACATTGGGTAAAATGGTAAAGGAAAGCCTGTACAAATTGTAAGACACGGCCTATCTCTGAGCAAAGCCGCCTCATAACTCAGTTCCTTCCAGTTCAGTTAACCTAGAGAGAGAGGGAGAGAGCAGATGCCATTATAGAGAGAGAGGTAAGTGTAAAACCATAAGAGACGGAGAAGATGATTTGTAGGGTTTAAACTACTGCATCTCTGAGTTCCCAACTGTAATAAAGGTGAGTTCTCAGTCTTACACTCTCCTACAAAACCCCTCTAACCCCAACATGTCCTTTAAAGCTATTCAGTAACACACACACACATTATAAAGCAAACCACAAAGAAAACCAAAGTCTTTACCCTTTTCTCTATCAATAATCTCCACCTTAAAGCTGTCAGGTTTCGCTCCCTCTCTCTCTCTTCCCCCCTCTTGATGTACCTACTTATAACTAGTTTTGTGTACTGTACAGGTTCAAGGGTACTTTGAAGAGCTAGAAAGCAAAGTGGTTTCGGTTTTGTGGGGTTGAAAGAGCGACAGTAGAGGCGATGTTGGACTACGAATGGGGTAACCCATCAACAATCATGCTGTCCGGTGAAGAACCCACCGGAGACTCCGATCAAACCCGTCAAACCTTTGACCATTACAACCAAACTTTCAACGAAACAACCCTACTCAACCCAAATGGCTTCAACACTCCACAATTCCACCATCACCACTTCCACCAGCAACAAACCCAAAATCATACCCATTTCAACTCTCTATACGATCCACCGGCCTACGGCGGTGGCGCGTCTTACCCACCTCCACCACCCTCAATGCTGTCTCTTGAACCGGCTGGTCCAACCGGGTTCATGATGGTGCCGAAGAGCGAACCGGCTTCTGGGGTGGTCGATTTCAACAGTAGGATCGGGTTGAATTTGGGTGGAAGGACGTATTTTTCTTCGTCGGAGAATCATGATTTCGTGAACCGGCTTTACCGGCGGTCGAGGATGGTTGAACCCGGTTCAGTGAACTCGCCGCGGTGTCAAGCCGAGGGCTGCAATGCCGATCTGACTCACTCGAAACACTACCACCGGCGACATAAGGTCTGTGAGTTTCACTCCAAAGCCGCCACAGTCATCGCCGCCGGGTTGACTCAGCGATTCTGCCAACAATGTAGCAGGTTTGAATTTACCATAACACCCTCCCCATGCATTCACATTTTCATTCTCAACCATATCAGATCACTTTTTTTCTTCATCATCTCAACATCCGTAGAGGAGGAAGAGGATGGGGATGTCGAAATGACGAAAATGCCCTTTGGGTGTGGCAAAGAGCAAATGATTGATTGGGCCGTACGTGTGGTGATCCCTAGGGCATTTGCGTCCATAAATTGTTTCCCTATCAAGTTTGCCGTTATAAGTACTGTTTGCTTTTGCTACTTATAGTAAGTACTTATTTAGTATCACTTTGCCATAATTAACATAACAGATGGTCTGTTTGGCTGAATAGAAAATGTTTTCCAAGTGAAAAATAAAATTCTCATTAATCTGACTACCAAACAGGTTTCATCTCCTCTCGCAATTTGATAACGGGAAACGAAGCTGCCGGAAAAGGTTGGCCGATCACAACCGTCGGAGGCGAAAATCTCAGCAACCAAACGGCCAGGAAAATAGCAACAAGTCTCAGCTTGACAATGCCCGTAATTCATCGTCTGAAAACCTTGCTAGTAAGCTCCATTTAGAGATTTTTTTATTTTTTGTTTTATGGGTCGTGCTAGAGTGACAAAAACTCTTTTCAGGAAAATTAAGACGATATAAAGAATATTAACATGACTCTTACTTGTAAAGATGACACACACAAATCGAAAAATAATTTAGAGTGAAAAAAAATAAAAAAAGATGAAAAATCGAGACCAAATGAAATTTGGCTAATTTCTTGAGTAAAATTTGAATTCTAAATGAGTAATGCCACTAAAAACACCACTATATCAATGTCACATTATTTGTTCTTGTTTTTAATATTATTTTTCTTGTTATATTGGAGTCCATACAAGATCAATCTTATATTTCGGTTCATAAATTCGGTCAATTCAAGAACAACTAAGTTCGAGAATAAGTGGTTGGCCTAACGAGTACCGTAGTTCATCCTTGGATTGTGGTTTGAATCTTGCCATCCCGTCTCCTGTAACAGTTTCAAATAGTGACAAGAGGGAAAAAAAAAGGACAAACAAGTTTCATAATATATAGAAAAAGTTCCAAAAAACAGGAAAAAAATGTAGAAATTTTATTCGGGAAGATTGGTTGAAACATTTTGACTCATTTCGAGATATTACAAAGTACAGGAATCTTAATATTCAATTACTGACTCGTTTTGATTTCTACTGAAATCGAAATATCTGTTTACATAAACTAAATTTTGATCTCTCATTGCATGAATTTAGTATAAACACCAAGAGAAGAAAGTGGAATTTGATTTGTGGGAAATTTCTTTTCCTTACTTTTGTAGGGTCTCCACCTGACTCAGGAACTCATTCATCTTCATCTGTGACTATTGCCATTTCCCCACCAAGAATTTCATTGGAGTCTTTCCGGCAAAGATCATATCAAGCTCCGGCAACCGCTTCATCGGCATCAACCAGCTCACTCTTTTTCTCAAACGGTTAAATTTTCCAGGAAAGTGGGAATTGAATTCCCTTCTCAAGAAACTTTCATCTGGACTGAAAATTGAAATGCCATAGTTATGATCATCCTGGGATAGTTGTTAACTTGTTTCAATCTTTCCTCTTAGAGAAGTTGAATTCTATAGAGATGTTATTAAATGTAGCTACTAGTACTACCTAGGATCTATTTTTCATTCCTGGGAAAATGAATTCCCACTTGTATGTGGAACTTTAATTCTTATAGTAAAGCCTTCAATACAAGGGAATTTGTTTTCATGTAATCCTAAGGTGGGGTTTCTTTTTTTGTTTCTAACGGTCAAGGAAGTTTGGATCAACGTACGCACATCTCGACTAATTTTCTCTTTAATTTGATTAAAAATTGACTATCCACAACAGAATTAAGAAATTCACGAGAGATAAATTCTACATGGCTAAAGTATGACCTTAAAGAGTTACTAAGATTCAGGGTGAATTTATTTTTAGAATAATGTTATTAGAATCTAAAAATTTAATTTAATTTATTAATTTAATAGTGTGTGAAATCACGGAGTTTCAATACAGAAGTCCAATAACTAAAATTAATAATATTATTAGATCATGTCATTATTACGTCGTTATTAAATCAACATATTAGATCAGATCGTTAGATCCTAGTAACATTACTCTTGTTTGTCATTTAATGGATGAAAATCCAACCACACAAAGAGGGAAAAGATTATTATCATAATCGGCGAACTTTCTCAACACCATTTACTTGTTTTTATACAGTTAAAAGGGATTAGCACTCACAAAAATAATTTTTCAATACAATACCAAAAGTAATTAGTAGTGGTGTATTTTGGCTCATTACATTTGTAGCTACTAATAAAAAAAATAAAATAAAATAAAGCATAGTGAAATAATAAAATAAAATTTTAAATATTTTCCATTTGTATAGGACCAAGAAAAAAGGAAAAAAATACTTAAAGGGTTGGTATTGTCAGGCACGCCCGTGCAGGTGCATTTCCATTTGTAGGGTATGTGATATCAACTTTTGTTTGGTCCTTTTGATATTTTCCCTGAAAATGCTGTGAATGCGGTATCAAGAAGGAAAAAAAAAATGACCAACTTAGTAGGAGTAACATTTTCCTTCTCTTTCCTGGAAATTGCTGGTGGAGGAAAAGCTCAATTAGGCCAAGCTGTCTCCTGCATGGAGGCTATTTTTGATCAAGTTATTATTGTGTGTGGGTCCCTCATGAGTAAGAGAATAGATGGTCTATATCAATCTCTCTCCTACACTCACATTGGGACAGAAAATGATAGATGTGAAATGTCCCAGAGGGTAAAGTTAAGGGCTCATTAAAAGTAAAAAAGGGATAAAATTAGGGTTTCATCACAGGGTTTTTAGAAAATAAGTTATCTTCTACATTATAGGCAAATTATTCTTTATAAAGACTTATTAATTAATCTATCCATTGGACTCATATAGCATGGATAATGTTAGACTAAAAAAAAAGCGGGATAAAAAACAATGACTACAAAATACGATGCTGATATGAGTACGTTTTTAATCTTATTTTTACTCAGTTAAATTGTTTACGAGTGTCAACATTACATCAATTATTTCTTATTTTTGTTTTTATTTTATGATTAGCTTTGTTCGAATTTTTTTCTATATTAGACTGCTATTAATTGATAGTTAATTTAGTTTATGAAAAATGAGCTGAATTTATGGTTCAACGAGATAAACCCAATATTATTAAGTGATTTATTTTGATGGGTTTATGTACATCTTTCAATTGATGTGGTTGAGACGATTAAGTGTAGACCTTAATTTAATTGTGGCCTGTAATGAGAGAGCCCATTAGATTTCATTATAAATAGCAGATTCGGTCCTCTCTCCACTTCATAACCCTAAATTGGCTTGTCCTATTGAAAGCCGCCTATTGCTTTGAAGAAAGAGATGAAGATCTTGCTCTTTAAAGAAAGAAATTNGGAGAGCCCATTAGATTTTATTATAAATAGCAGACTAGGTTCTCTCTCCACTTCATAATCCTAAATTGACTTGTCCTATTGAGAGCCGCCTATTGCTTTGAAGAAAGAGATGAAGATCTTGCTCTTTAAAGAAAGAAATTTGGATATCGAGTATCATGGCTCGTAGAGGTATGTTCTAAACCTTGTAATTTAGATGCTCTAAATTTTATATACAAATCATTAAAATTTCTTACATGCAGTATCAGAGCCTATCGTATATGAATTTAGCACCAGATAAAATTTATGTACAATTAAATTACTAATTTTCATCGGAATTAGCGTTCAATTTTTTGTGTCACTGTCTATGGTCATATTGCTTCAAAGTTATGGTACATATATCCATATAGCGTATGTATGACTTTCAAGAAGAAAAAGTAAACAAAAAAAAAAAATTTGACTGTAAACCAACAATTTTTTAATATTTAATGAAGAATTCAACATTCAGTCAATTTATGAACTTGTCTTATTGTTGGCACCACTAAAGCACCTCATTCAAAAAAAAAAAAAAAAGTGAAAGCATCTATGGTAGCCTGTACGTCACATGAAGAAAAAAAAACAGGGGGGGGTGGAATCATGATGGCTACGGATTAGTTGTTAATACCTTTGGTCTCTATGTTTTGAAGGGGCAGAACCTTTAGGCAAGTTATTTTTTTTTATAGAAAAATTCTTTTGCCTTTGACGTGTGGTTTTCATCTTTTTCAATTTCTTTTTCGTTCTTGTTTTTGTTTTGATTAATTCTTGTGGATGACTCCCGTTAATAATATGGGGTCATGTTGATGAATAGATATAAATTTTATCCATATAAATTATTTTCTCATTGTAATTTTGATTGAATTGCTATAATTTGTAGAGGGTGTTTGTACAATTCTAATTTTAGCCCCTAGTGATTTATATGATGATTTTTTTATGATCTACATATTATTTATTAATGTTGGTAGATTTGAATTTAAATTACTTAATTTTAATAGTATAAAAAAATTTACACCTGAATGCAAGGATTGATGATGGATGATCTAAAGAGATACATATTGATTAGTACCTCATATTGATTGATCACATGATATTTAATTATGGACAATTTATTATAATATCCCGGTTTAAGAAATTTTATGAGTTAAGATGAATGGTTGCCATTAAAGTGGTCTATTCATTGAAATTTATAATTTTTCTAATGCTTTTGTTACGGGGTTATCTCTAAATTATAATATACAATTACCTACTCAAAAGAGTTGTTGTGCATTATAATTTGGAGATGTCATGAAATATTGTGGTCGAGGTGCAATAGTCTAGAAGGTTTATCTGCCCAAAAAGGATAAATTTTTTAAAACTTGAGCATTCGTATTGGTTAATTTCATGAAAGAGGGGACAAATAACATATTGCATTCTCTGCCCGAATGGGAGTTTGTAGTGATGTATTTGAACTTTCTTAATAAAATATGACTTATTATGTTCAAAGCATATTTTATTTTATTTATTATCCAATTTTGCTAATTGTTTATATTATCGTTGCCTTGAACAGTCTCTTTTGTTGTGAATAGTAATAATGTCAATAGTGAAGTCTTAATTGGTTCTAATTATAAGAGATGGAAACAAGATATTGAGTTTATCCTGGGAATTGCTAATATAGACTTTGCCTTAAAAGAAAATGAACCTGCGAAACCTACTAGTGAGAGTTCCCCTAATGAAAAAGAATTTTATACAAAATGGGAGAAATCTAATAGGTTGAGCATGATTGCCCTGAAAAGGTCTATTTCTGAACACTTTATGAGCGGCTTGCCTGAAACCAAGAATGCCATAGAGTTGTTTACTGTTGTAGGAGAGAGATAAAAGGTATCTAACAAGACTGAAGTTGGGGGCCTAATGAATGAATTAACGAGTATAAAATATGACAATGTAGGTGATGTTAGGAAATATATCCTTAGAATGGAAACCTTCAAAATTGTTATTTTTGATGATTTCATTGTTCATCACACTCTTAATTCTTTGCTTTCTGAGTTTAGCCAAATCAAAACTGTCTACAATACCCAAAATGAGTCATGAACAATAAATGACCTTATCTTCAAATGTGATTTTAAAGAAGAAAAAATTAGAAAGAAAAGAGTGAAATTGTTTTGTTTGTTTCTGAGCCTAAATGTAATTTCAAAAGTGGGTATCAGGAAAATAATAGAAAACCTAATCATAATGTTCCAAAGAATGGTCGGGATTTAAAAATGCATGGTACTGATCAAAATGTGGGAGGTTCTAAGACTATCATTCGAAAAGATGTCAAGTGTTATTTTTGCCAAGAAACGAGATTATAAGAAAAGTGAATGTACTCGACTCAAGTCTTGGTTAGAAAAGAAGAATAAAGAAGAAGATAATTCACTAGCCTTTGTTTGATTTGAATCCAATTTTGTTAATGTCCCATTAAATTCTTGGTGGATTGATAGTGGATCTACTGTTCATGTTGTCATGACTTTGCAGGGATTCATAAGTAAACGGAGGCCAAGTGAAGGGGAAGTTAAGCTTAAAGTAGGAGATAATAATGAAATCCATGTTGAATTTATAGGAACTGTTATGTTAAATTTAGACACTGATTTTCAACTTATTTTAGAAAATACTTTTTATGTATCGTCATTTACGCTGTATTTGATTTCAGTTTCTTTACTTGATAAAATTGGATATTGTTTTAACTTTTGTAATGGTAAAACTCAATTGTCTTTAAATTTCAAAATTGTTAGTCATTGTGTTTTATCAAATGGTTTATATAATATATATTTGTCTGTCAATAATAAATATGATCTTTCAAATATTGTGAATGTTGTATTTAAAAGACCTTTCATTAAACAAAAATCTTCACAGTTGTGACATAAACTTTTGGTTCACATTTCTAGAGAAAGAGTGAAAAAATTAATAAAAAATGATATTCTTCATCTCCTTGATTTTGGAGACCTTGAAACTTGTGTTGACTTTATTAGGGGTAAATTGACCAAGACTAAGAAGAAAAGTGCA